TGGCCATGGTGGTTTCGTGCCATACGTGACGCAGGGGAGGACCGCATTCTAAGCAACTGCAGCCTACTGCACTCTCTTGTCGTTCCTTTGCTGCGTAGCCTGGAGCCCGTTCGGGATTCAGACGGAGAGGGATGGGAAGACCCTGACCACTCAGAAACTGGATGATGTCGCAGATTCCTTTGACTTTGTCAGGATCTCCCATCCCTCTTTGGAAAAGCTGGATAAGAGATTCAGGCATCATATTCGACATAGATGAGATCGAGTGATGGTTGCGAGGCCAGTGCTGGAGCGAAAAACCCTTGGAACACAACCAAATGAGAGCATTCGCAAAACTCGGGTTCCATTCTTCTTTGAGGATGCGAAAGAGAAGAAGGTCAATCGGTCTGTGTTTGCTGTGCTTTGCAAGCTTGTTGCGGCATTGACACTTGACATGTTTCCTGTCCCAGACGATCGAGACATCAACACCGCCGAACTCGTAATTGCGCTCCATTCTGGCGACGTCTGCAGTCTTGAGTGCTTCCCGGAAATCTTCAAAGCTGCCTGATCGGTAGTATAGTGGGCGAATGACACTGAAGAGCGCAGCTGAAGACAAGGCTAGAGATTTAAGGTCTTTAGCTCTGGGCTTGTCGATGTTCTTGGCTATCATGCGCTTCAGCTCGACAGGGAGACGCGCGAGAGCTCCTGTCTGCTGAGGTCGCTTGTCGGAGGGCTTCACGATGAAGGATGAGCATCGTGAGTCCAGAGGGAGAAGGGAGCCCATTGCGGTGGATTTCTGGATGGGATGGCAGTGGGGAGTCAAAGTATCGCTATGCCTTCTGAGTTGACGATGTTGTGAGAGTTTACTGTGAGGGGAGTCGAGAGGAGTAAATAAAATCTGTAGCGTTGCGGTGATGAAACCAGCAGTTGAGCAGTGGGGTGAACAAGAGTTGCATGCCACTGCTACAGTATGAATCTGCCACTGCCAGATTTTGGCCTGAGCTTTTGCTAGCTAAACGCGGATAAAGGGCATGCCCAGGCTGAAGAGTGGACACTGGCGACACTTGGAGCGCAACAGTCACGAGTCACGAAGAGGAAGATGGATATTGGGAGAAAAGGATGAAAAGCTCCGACTTATGGTTGCGATGTTCTTATGCCCTATCTATGGTAAACGCAATAATCATATAAAAAAGGTTACCACGGGCTCACTACAGGCTCACTGTGCGACTTCGGCAGGCAACTCCGGGGGTTTATGATTCATGAACCTTTCCAGTGTATGTGTTCCGGATGTGAGCTTCTCAGAGAGCCATGTATTCATGTGGGATATAGTTGTAACCGTCTTTGCGAAGTTCTGGTGGTGAATATGGGAGGTTTACATGCATTGAGAACCTTGGTACTAGATCCTTGGCCAGCGGTGCCCACACACGAGTCACAAGTAGTCTGTTTACATCAGTAAACGAGGCGATAGGGAAGCATATAGAGAAGCAAGCCTCGTTTGTTAATTGTGGTGAGAAAATATTTGTATACAGTATTGGATTCAAGGTCATTTCCAGTGCAAATATCCCTTAGAAGTACCAGTCTTGGGCAATCTAAACCTTTGCAACAAACGCGATTTCTCAAATACAGTGATAATATCTAAAGCTGATCTCGTTCGGCTACCCACAGGACATCTGCCCTTCTATAACGACATAGAAAACGTAGAAATGAGATACTCAAGCACAGGGATAAGGAAAGGAACAAGAAAACCAAAATGAAGAAACCCCAAAGATTCGCAAAACTCTTTCGTCTTCTGTAGGAGCTACTTGAACAAAGGACTCATAAAATCTGCCATGTATGAGTGCTGCTCCAGCGAGGACAGGGACTACCAGGTAAAGCCGAGGTAGACCGCAAACCAACCGTGAAAGTCGTGATTTTAGAGTACCCCTCCATAGTGTATTGCGGCCGTATGTCGAGCCAAAGCTTTACCAGAGACTTCCCTGTCGGCATGCGATCTTGATACCCTTGTCAAAGTACTGGCCAACACCCGGGACGAAGCTAGCCAGCACCTCAGCAATGGCGCCAGCTTTCCCGCAACCGCTCTCGCCCCTCAAGGTCTGTGCGCCGATCTTGATCTGGTACATATCCGCACGCAGAGACCCATCCCTGTTGTAGACGTTGATGCGGACCTGGGACGGGAGCTTGCGGCCCCAGCTAAACTTCTGGCACTCTACCATGTACTCGCAGGGGCAGTAGACCTTCTTCGTGGTAGCCCGACCACAAGCAGCATTTTTGTTATTCGGAGTAGATTCCTGCCAGGTAAAGCCGCTGCAGTCTGTGTAGACGGGGTACTGGTTCTGCTGACCAGCTGCCTGGACAGTTGCCCACATAGCCTGGATGAGAGCATCTCGCATCTGCCAGCCGCTGACTTTGCCGACTACTCCCCACTGCCCATCGAGCTGGACTCGGACAGATGTCTTTGGCTTGTCGTACCCAGAGTTGCAGTTGCCGGTGTACTGCCAAGTGGTGTGGTCGGAGAGGCCGCCCTTGTCGTCGGCCACATCGTACATGCGGTTCCAGACGCTCCAGAAGGAATCAAGGTTGCCCACGTTGACCAACTCATCCGTGTAGGTTGCGTGAAGGTTGAAATCAGCAGCAAGTACCTGCCCAACGGCGAGGGTGCCGATTATGATGGAAGTCAGCTTCATTGCGATTAGGTGGTAGAGGTAAAAGATTAAGAAGGAGGGGTAGTGAAGGACTGGGTAGTGCTTTGCTTTGTTGAAGCTGTGTTGTTCTGTTCTTGGTTCTGTTGTGCCTCGGATCTTTATCGTACGAACATAACCTTCTTATACTCGGGTTCAACTTGTTAGTTAGCTTTGACGACAACATACTCAACCGATTCCCCCGTTCAGGACACCGAAATCTGCACGGAACTTTCATAAGGAAAGTCTATAATTGGGTTTTAAGTTTCAGGCCCTAGCTAGAGGCATGCTCTAAGACGTTGAGTATGTATTCCTGAACTTAGAAACATGTTCTCAAATAACACAATCTACGAAGTGATTTCCTAAAAAACATCCGTGCAATAGTCTGCCAGGCTTCAAAGCCAATAGAATGCACCACGAGGTCTATCTTGAAACCACCAAACTATCTCGTATAGCTTTCTCAGCTCTTCTATCTCGTATCGCTTTGAGAAAGCTCTGACTGGAAACCTCTACATTCATGCTCATGACAACCGTGCTGAAGTTGTAGATACGTGGAACCAGCCAGGCACAGGAAAGCCCCTCGTGGATGCTCAAGAGCGTACCGGGTTTCTCCTGAAGACACTCGGGCATCACTGATTCGAAGCTTACCTCGACATGAATTGCCCAAAAAGTTCAGCCCGCATGCTAGGTCTCGGTGTCACAAAGGGGTAAGTGAATTATCGGTGGCCGGCAAAAAGTCTGATCTGCCTTGAGGCCAAAGACACAGCGAGTCTCAAAGATACATATACGAGCTGGTGCCCGCTTGTCTGACTTGACCTGCATCATCGACTATCGACACCATCTACAAGACTTCATTGCTCCTCACAACGCTCTACATCACATCTCAAATTTGACCAAGTTCTTTTGTGTCAATAAGCCTTTTTCCAACATCATCATGTTTTCCCTCATTCCTCTCCTGAGTCTCCTGGTCGTTGGCTCTCATGCAAACCCCTTCCTCGACGCACGAGGCGTCGCCAGCGTTGGGCTGCCCGCCAAACTCAGCGCCATCAAGCTCGACCCAGCCAATAAAGACGGCGTGACTTTCCACATCACTGCCGCCGGCGTTGACACTCAGTGTTACCCACCAGCCAAAGATACCGTCGCTGCGGGCAGAATCTACAAGTGCGGCGAAAACGCTGGTCTCACCTTCAGCTATACCGGTGAGGATGGCAAGCTTAGCGTTTGGCTGAGCAATGAGAATGGATCCTTTTCTGGCTCTGCTCTCGTCTCCGGTCCCGTTTCGGGTGAGGTCGCCATCGACCTCGCCAGCCTGGACGGTTGAAGATTTGCTGGAGGCATGGGGTTAGCAGTGGGAGAGTTAGGTTGTTAGATCGATTGTGAATCAGGGGCAGTGTGTGTGGGGAATAGGGACGGAGGAACCGGCAGTGTGTTGTGTTATGTAGTTAGATCCATCCAGGTACAATCGCATCTCTTTTCGTACTGCACTTTGAAGTGATACATTTATTAGCATAATAGTAGTGTGATGAAATATTTGACTTTTATACGTGATTCGTTAGATTACACTAGCACGCTCGGGCCATGCCGAGAAATTTCCCTCTTCCTTCGCAGAACAGCTATATGTGCCGAAGCCTTGCTGTTTCTAGCGTAGTTTCGAGGGGACGATTGTTTCAGGGCGGAAAACCTGTAGCCAATTTCAGTTCCTGCGTGTTCTAGAATTACCTGAATATTGTTCTATCGGTGTGTCTAAGTGAGCCGTCCTTCTAGGGGCAATTGAGCGTGAGGCTCGATCCAAACTTTAAGTTGTGCACGTGGGTTTTCTATCGCTTTTCTTTTGTGAGATCCGATAGCGTAAACTTCAGGTCAATATAAGGTCAAAGCGTGCATGACCACACTAACCTGGGGTCGGGGATCGTTGGTAAAGAACCCATAAGCTTACAGCGTTTTCTCTGCCTGAGATTGGTCAGGGGTACCCTAAAACTCAGTAAACGTGTAGATTTTAAAGGAAATGCTTGGTTAATTCTCTTGACCGAGAAACAGAACCTGCTATGGCTTCAGCTGAAACAATCTAGATCCTGCTGAACCTAAAAAGCACCAAGTATGGTTGATGCCCAAGTGCTATACGATGATATGGCTCCGTCCTTATGGCTTATTTTGTATTCGGGCTCGTATTCCCAAGGACGGATGCTGACAGCTCAGCCCGCTATCTGTCCTCATCATCATCAGAGATGTCGCACCTATACCCCGACGGGTAATATGAGCTCTGTTCCTGCATATAAGCCGGCTCCACACCGGCGCCTTCTTCTAAACAATAATTCCTTCTTTTCAGATTTCAAACAAAGCTACAACATGCTCGTTCCTCATGCGCTATTGCTTCTCACGTATGGCACCTTTGTCTGGACTCATTCAGTCTCCGACCTTGGCGAAGATGACTTCTTCGACCTTGTGAATTCAGACAACCTTGCTCTTGTGCTCTTTGTTACCCCTAGTTGTGTGAAGTGCGACGAGATTACTACTCAGTTCGAGCAGGCCTCAGACCTCTCCCCCGAGACCAACTTTGTACGGGTAGATTGTTCAACTAACGGTAAAGTCTGCGATGATGTCGGAGTTCTCCATGTTCCAGAAGTCAGGCTTTCCAGAGGCCGTAGTCGACTCACCCTTTACCGAGGCGACTTAGACACTTCAGCGTACTATAACCCCCTTTCTCTCGAAAAGTTTTGCGCTAAGCACCTTGTTATTTTAGACTATTGGCATTCATCGAACGGCAACATGGGCCAGCTGTTATGGAACTAAGTGATGCCAATTATGACGAGTTTTTGAGCACTGATTACGTTTCAATCGTCGCCTTCATTGATGATAAAGAGAAAGACTTGGTCGAGCTATACTCGCAGGTGGCTGAGCAGCTTCGTGGTGAATACGCTTTTGCAATTACCCATAATTCTAGTCGAGCGAATAATGAAGGTGTCGCTCAACCAGGTATTTTGCTTCTCAGCACATTTGACGAGCGTCGCAGCAGCTACGAAGGGCCTTTTGACCATGATGCACTCCAGCTTTTCATCAGGAAATACGGGACGCCCTTGATTGGAGAGCTACACCCAGAGGTTTACGCTACCTTTGCCGAGGTATACCAACCTACTCATACATTTTTATGGAATCCGACAGCTGATAAACACTATTAGACCAGCTTGCCACTAGCACAGATTTTAGTAGCTTCTCCAACAGAGCGCGATCATCTGGTTGACTTGCTCTATCCGCTGGCTCGAAGATTCAGCAGCGTCTTGACCTTTGTTACCGTCGATTCAAACAGGTACCCCCAGCGGGCGGCATTACTCAATCTCGCCGACGGCACCAAATTGGGTTTCGCAATTGAGAATGTCACCTCAACGGAGAAATTCCCATTGAAAGCTAGCTCGGTCAATGCCGAAAGCATCACAGGATTTGTCCAAGATTTTGTGGCTGGCAAGCTGAAACCAGAAGTCCGATCTCAACCTGTGCCAGTAAAACAACAAGGCCTCTGCGTCGAACTGGTTGGACACACCTTCAGAGAAGTAGCCTTTGATGACACTCGAGATGTCCTTGTGGAGTTCTACACACCATGGTGTGATTATTGCCTCGAGTAAGTCTGCTTCTCACCCGATGGAGATCGACTCTAATCAGCACGCTAGGTCACATGATGTACTCGAAGAGCTCGCCGTGCACTATCGCGATGTCGGACTCAGTGACAAGATATCCGTCGCCAAAATCGACGTGAGCAGTAACGATGTTCCTGAATTGATCACAGGTTACCCAACGCTGAAGCTATACCCAGCTAGTGGACACCCCCCGGTTACATTTCAGGGCAACTATCGCGAGCCCATTCCTCTAGCGACGTTGATTTCTTTCATTCACGATCATGGCAGGAATCAGCTAGAGGTTGGAAAGGTTTCCTTGGCAGGGAAGAGCTCGAACCAAGCCAGGTTAAGCCTGCAGCACGAAGAACTGTAACATAGACACGGTTATATTCTAGAGAAATAGAATAGAGGATGTTGGGCGAAGAAAGAAAAACTCTAATTTGTGCTTGCTTAGTTTTTATGCCGTCTATAATAAACCCAATGACCCAATGTAAACAAATAACCCAAAACAGTAAAGACAGTATCGCTCATCTATCCCAACATCCTGATGTGAGAAAACAACCCAACACAAGAAGCACCGTCCAGCGTGTGCTTGCCGATAGTTCAACATCATAAGAGATGCCAGGCTTGAGCGGAGAGACAGCAAGATGTGCGTCTTACTAGCGTGGCTATCAAGGAACCCAACAAGGATACGTGCTAGGCAGAAGTTCTTAATGAGCCACTCTGAGTCTGCATTACGGCGACGAAGGTATGCCTGATAGGCTGTGTCAAGTATGTCTACCTGCGCGATACCATGCTCATGCACATAGCGCAGCACGACTTCGAGGATAGCTAGTGCACAATCCGACTGAGAAATAATTAGTCATAAATATCTAGATGACAAGAGAAAACAGCTTTGTTACCCTTGCTTTGGGAGTAGAAATAGGCAACTGGGACCCGCAGCCGGGACCTAGGCAATGGATGCTGCCAGAAATGCTTGTGGTATCGCCGTTGTAAGAACTGGTTGCGAAGTAGCCGCCAGAACTTCTTGTGAGTTTGCAGTCTTTGCGAGGGCAAGTGAAAAGGGCGGCATTGTTGAAGATGACAAAGAGCTCGTTGAATAGGGCTCCTTCGATCTCATTCGGCGTAGGCATGGCCATGATTGGCAAAATCAAGCAATGAGGTAGAGTTGGTGGCTTATTAAAAGATTTGTGTACAAGTAGAGACGATCTTTTGGCCAGCAAAGATGTCAATATGTTGTTGAAGTGAAAGGGGATAAGGGAATGTGAGAAACTTGAAGTAGAAGAGGATCAGAGAACGTTGGGAAGGATTTGGTATTTATGATAGAATTCCCAGCTCACGTACGGAGGGATGACCAACCCTCATGGCCAACATGGCTAGCGGATTGAAACGCGCCCGATACTATTCTCTGACCTTCGCACCGTTCACGACAGAGTCATAGCTTTGGAACCTGGTAGCTTGCTCCAATGAGGAGAAGAAATAGCCGAGTTGGTCGACCTTCGCAGTATGAAAATACCCAGATACAGGACCAACGAATCTGATACATCATGAAAGGTTGCCTCCCAATAGAACTAATGTCATCAAGGTTAATAATAGACATATTGTTCTTGAGAATGAGTCAAACTAAGCAAATTGTGAGACGGGACAAGCGAAAGAACAATCAACTGATGCCACACTAAAGATCAATAGCTGAAATCTCAGCAACGCCGCTTCTAGAAGACTACCATATTTGGTGGCCACATGGAAGTCCTGGGTCAAAGCGAGCTGACAGTCCTTTTCGGAACCTTGGAGATGATCTACTTTGGACCCCTAATTATACATGGCTGCTCAGATGATCTGCGAACTGCCCTGATTCCAAACGGCTGATTGGTTCGATCGCGATTGAGATAACCAAGATTTTGGTAAACAGCATCATCGGTCAAATAAGCAGGGAGCCCTGGATAAATCAATAAGCGCCACTCGGATTCTTACGTAGAAACACCAAGCTAACACATGAAAAGCAAAAGCAACGACCCCTGTTTCTCCTTGGAACATCAGCGCAAGAACAACATCTTCATCAACATCCTCCCCGCAATTTTCACATGATACAACTGCGTAATGGTTCAATACAATACTAACTTGCAAGTTTCAATAGCGCTCTGTAAAACCAGTAGTAGTTGCGGTAATAAAAGGTATATCTGAGAGCTGAAATATTGGAGTTACCGACCAACTGGCAACCGGGCTGCGGAGCATCTCCCGCGCACACGGCCTTGGCGTAAGTTGTTGCGTAAACTAAAGAGTGTGATTGGTCAACCCACCGAGGTGGCTTGTATTGATCGGTGCAACCAGGAAATCTGTGAGTCGGTACATCGTGATATTCGGGCTCAGATGGGACGAAGTCCAGTTTCCATGATTTACTAAGATCATTACTTACAAGCTGTGAGAATAACGAGGAGAGCAAAAATTGAATACTGTTGAGGTGTGTTTCCCGAGAAGTGAGTTGATGTTGAGTGCATCGGGATCTCCCTTCAGCAATGCTTTTGAGATGCCCACGCAGATACCTAAGTGCATAAATACGAATACCAACATGAATATAAATGAGACTTGTCATTAAATGTGCGGCCTGAGTTGAAATTCGTTCTTATCAACCAGATAATTGACGGGAGTTGCCGGGCTTTCCGGTTTGTAATATATCACATTAATGGTGAGTAATTGTGCTACCATATAATTACCCAGTAACAATAAGGTATAATCTATCTAGCATTTTATTATAATAAATAATTTTTGAGATATCTTAAGAAAACCTTAAGTAATTATAATATTAGTATATTAATTAAGATATTTAATATAGATTTACTTCTCTATTTATAGAGATAAACCCTTTAAGACTTTAATAATAAAGAAAATTAACTTTCCTTTCTATTAAAACCCTTCTTTAAATTACTAATAAGTTTAATTAAAATAAAAGGATTATACTTTATAAAGATCTTAAGGGCTTAATAATAAGCTACTTTAGACTTTTTATTTTATATACTTAATATTTTATTTTATTAATAGCTATACTGTTTTTCTTTTTACTATTATATATAGCAATTTAGAGGCTATTTAAAGATATAATTAGCTGGGATCTATATCTAGTACTATAAGAACACTTCCCTATGGCTTCAGATGTCTGTTAGAACTGCCCTATGAGAGGCACAGTCTTCTTGAGACTCTTCCATATATGCATCGTGCCCTCTCGGGGCCGAACTCACCTGTGGCTGAAAGCTTACACCCCGTGAATCGGTGACTGGAGGCAAGCCTTTCTCGATGTGATAATATTTTACCTGACAGTGCGGGTCTCAATAATGACGCCTTATTAATTCTTTTGCTTCCCACGAGGGCTCAGAGCTCGAAGTTCTTTTCGCCTTATAGTGGGCACGCAAAACCCAACTCCACCTTGATGGGACATAAGCTATGGACTCGAGTGCCTATATATTCCTAGGCACCCTTGTAAACAAGATGCATGGCGCTCTATTTTCACTTTGGAGGCTTGTGTATTTATTCTGTCCGAACAAAAGGCTACGTTCTCTCTGCTGATTTGACTCTCAGGTTCAAGCCTCAAGCCTTAGCTGCAAACAACGCATCTAGCTAACAACTTGTAGTCTCGATGACATTGCTTTGTTCATTTAGGTGTTTCCGCCGACCTTAGAAGCAAAGGAGACTTCAAACGAACACACGGAAGAGTTTCCTTGGACGAATAGTCAGTCATTAGAACTCTACTTTCGTCGTATAGAGCGGTGCTTAACTATCACAAAATCTGAACAGTTGGAGTGAATTCAGGGTGAGTATAAGTACAAGCCCTGCCTACTAGACAGTAACAGACCTTAAACCATATCAAGCATCTGGCTATGAACGTCAAGAGACAGGGGACATATAGGAAGTCACACAGCCACCCAACGCAAGCATGTCAAACGAGGACACCGAAGTTATTCCTAATTCTCCATCTATACCCATGAAGCCTTCAAGCCCTCAACAACAGGGGAGACTGGCTCTTCTTCCAATGGAAATACTTCTCATGATTACGGGAAAGCCCAAGGGGGAAGGAGGAACTCTACCTTATAGAGATCTCAAGTGCTTAGCTTTAAGCTGCTCCAGACTCTTCCATATCATTCGCCCCATGTACCACTTTGCTGACGGATACGCCGTGTTTCACTCGGCTGTTGCACATGGTGACCTGGCGGTCATGCAAAGATGCGCTGAGCTTGGTGCTGCACCGCGGACCATAAGGGATCTTCTCCGTGGCTGCAGCTGTCCATCGGAAGTGCCGCATAAGAAGCATAGGCTCTTTGACTCCCTTCTGGAATTTGTCGCCTCCGGCGCTTCTCCCTTGGGCAAATGCTTGAATGGCTTGCAATGGTTGCTTGACGAGGAACTGGAGGCTAATGAGCAGATAGACCAGCCGTGGTACGAAAATGGCAACGATGATTGTGATCATATGCCTGAGCTCTTGGTCACTATCCTGAACCGGAATACTGAAAGGGCTCGGATAAGTGGGATAATAAAGATGATTGAGCTCATGAAGAGGTATGGATATTGTTTACCCTACCAGATGAACATCCGGACACGCTATCGCTTGTACCCGCACGAGAGAGACAACCCAGCTCTGATCAATCAGCCTCTAGATGTGGCTTTGCGACTTCATTGCCCTCCATCCTTCCTCAAAATTGTACTTGAGGAGTATCAGCACCACAACCTGGATATAAAGGGAATTTATAGGACCGTGCCTGTTCAACTTACTAGATGGGCAGGGAATTCAGAGGGAGACAGGTTTGAATGGCACCTCCAGAAAACGAACCTGGGTAACATGGCCTGGAATTTATTTCGCGACATGTTCGATCCATCGATAAGCTGGAAAGAGGCATACCCAGGTGAAGCCGCCGATAACTTTCAAGTGAAGATGTCTAAGCTAATGGGCCATCAGGCAGCTGACTCGCACGAACTAGATGCGCTGAGAAGCATTCTTAAAACCCTGAGGAATATTGCAACCAGAGCGCAACGACATGGCGGATTAAATGAAGAACGAGACGGAAAGGAATGCTGGCACATGTTGTGCGAAGCTTTGCGCCCCTTTTCGATTGAATCACCTCTTGTGGTAGATGGTCAGAACCCAAGAAGCGATGAAGATGTCCCTCCACCTCTTCATCGTTTCATCTTCGAAGTCAGCTGGAATCCATGGAAGTTATTGTTTCACTACCAGTTGCAAAAGCCCAAGTTTAGAGCAGAGATGTCGTTTTCCTGGACGCAACATGACTCCTGGAAGCTGGAGCAGGACGAGAATGGGATATGGCATGATTCTCACTGGGACTACATTCATGCATATGAGCACAGTAGCTGTGATCTGCCCCGATGGCAGCTTGTAGACTTTGATGAGTTTGTGGCCGCGGTCGAAGAGCAATGGCTTAAGTTCAATCCATACTGTTTGAAGCACATAAGTCAGGATTTCAACGATGAGATATAAGGAGAATACATCTCCAGTAACCAGTAGCCAGAGTCAAGAGTTTGAGATAAGACTATATGGATTTAGAAGCTGGTTTGGTTAGTGCTAGTCTATTATTAAACCCTTTCACCGAAATATATTCACTCATAGGTCTCGGAGGAATGTCTCCTTGGCTTCAAGGTTTTATCCGTACCCGTCGTCAAATACGGCTCAGATTCAATGCAGCTGAGAACTTTGGACCTCCAGGAATGGGATGAAGAGATCTATCAGAACCTGAATTTACCTTGAGACGGTGAAAAAGGCGACTGGCCGAATTCAGAGACTGCTTTGTTCAAATGGCCCCCAACCCCGACGCTGACTTGATGGCGAGTAAGCTCTGGCCTCAGTAGATGTTCCGTGTTAATAATTGAAATTTGCAATAAAGTAAATGGTGTCCTGTTCAGGTTTCCGATCCTTTGTTTCCGTTGCCGCCAAAGAAGGTTGGAGGGCTACGATGGGGGACTGGGGCAGCCATTTTATCCCTTGGGGAATGTATTTAGAGTTCTCTTTATGCGTCAGATGTAATTATCATTAGATAGGCTTTATAAGCCTATCTTAGGCAATTATATTAGGTAGCTGGTATACTGCCTAGACTGACTTTAATAAGAGTGTTATTTTGAGTTGATAGACCCCACAGCTGATGGCTTACGTCGCGCGCCTTACACGCCGCCAAAGAAGGGCCTAAGCACGACAGATGCTCTCGATCAACTGTTCTCTGAGAAGTTCCCACCTTCATTGAAGCCGTGGGAGACTTGAAACAGAAGAACAGATTCTATGTTGTCTCATGAACAGGAAGTGAACTCAATTGCAATGTAACACGACAGCAATGAACAACACCTGACATTTCGATCTCGGCATCGTTCTGTGGTACAAAGGTATTGCAAATGAGACTTGGACATATCGAGTAGGTTCACGTTGATCATAAAAGTAGGCCATATTCCCTATAAGCTATAGAAATTTCCATCAGTATCGAGTATCAACTACAAAACACAACAAACACCACAAACCATATCACGCACAATCACGTATTGTCACACGAAATCTCAGAAGGAAAATATGTCGGACCATCATATCGAAAAACCTTTACCCTCTTCTTCATCAAACAAGAAGACTTTCTCGCGACCTCAACAAGAAGGCAAGCTGGCTCTCCTCCCCGTTGAAACTTTGCTCCAAATCACAGGTGAGCCTGAGAAGGATCAACAGACCCAAGCCCTATTTCATCAGGACTTCAAGAACTTATCATTGAGTTATGCGATCCTAAAGAAGAATAGTCATAGTTCTTCAACCATGGTAAATGCAATTGCTCCTATTTCTCTATACTGGTTCCATATCTCTGACATCCCCCCCCCCCCCCGAAGCAACACCAACAGAAAATGCGCGTATCCGTCAAATTATCCCAATGAGGCTCCATCTTTCGAGGCTGATGTTACTGCAATACCGCTCTCAACGCTTCCGGACATTTAGACGAGGTATTTCTCCACGCACAACACCCTGAATACAACATCCTAGCATCAATCTTGCAAGTCGCTCCCTAACAGCAAGCCTTGGCCCAAACATCCCCACCTATCAACAACCCTGTCTAGTGCTTACGACACACGCGTACTATGGATCTCCTCCATCCTTTCTTCCCATCTCCTCACCGAAACGGATAAGCCATTAAACCACACACAAGCCATGGCCGGTCACGCCACTGACGAAACAATGGGCAAAGGCAAAGTCCGACAGCGGCGCGCCCACACGCGAAGCCGCACTGGCTGCTCAGAGTGCCGAAGCCGCAGGGTGCGGTGTGGCGAGCAGCGTCCCACATGGTGAGATGAGATCCCAGCCAAAAAAAACAGCCAGGCTTGAAAGGCTGACTGTGCAAATTGGCAGTGAGAACTGCGTTAATAGTAAGAGAACATGTGAATACCCGCCTGTCAAGATACCGCTGAGGGAGAGACGGGCGCTGGAGAAGGCTGGGGCGACTCAGCCGTGGGAGCATGTTCCCTGGGAGGCTCCGAGTTCTTCCAAGGGGCCTGAGATGCCCAACACCCAGGCTCTGGTCCGTCAGCTTATTTTGTCGAGCTCAGCAACGACCCTGGACTGCGTGGCCATTGATATGCCCCTCAAATCACATGAACTCTTCAATTACTGTAGGTCTTATCACTTACAAACAACCATCAATCACTAACAGCCTTTTTGTCTACGGTGAAACCCTTGTCACATCTGTCACAAATCATGGCAAAGATTGGTACGTCTAAGAGGCTTGTCTCGCCAACCGATGCTTACCAATGCAAACCAATGCTTACCTCGATAGCATGCCATATACCATATCAGACCCCGAAGCCCTCCGCAATGCGATTTTGATGGCAGCTACTCATTTTACTTTCAAGGTCGGCAGCCTCGAAGCATTTGAGCATACGTTCCTCTTTCATAGGATTGAGACCGTGCGATTGGTGAAAAAATGGCTTTCCAGTGGAGATCTCACCCTTTCAGCTGCCATCACCAAACAGATTGCCACCTTGGCATATACAGAGGTATGGCAAATGAACATCGCTCATTGTTTCAGATGTACTAAATCACCTATTAGTTCTGCAGTGGTAACATGCAAATGGCTGAAAAGCATTTAAATGTCATCTACGCTCTCCCATATCCAACAATAGTCCCATCAACTACTAACGGCAAGACTCGTGACCAAGAGCTTTCTGATCGCTATTTTCTACTGTGAGTATCTACCACCCAGAAACAAACTGAAGTTAACTAATATCCCAGAACCTCCACCTTCATCCACGGCGTACAGACTGTTCTCCATGGCATCCTCCGCGCCGAAGAATCAACCGGAGACAAGAACAGCCTCTCAGTCTCCAATCCCATGCGTCTCATGCACAAATGGTATAATTCAGAAGGCCAGTACCTACACTGTCTCAAACTCAAAGCCATACGCCTCTTCTCAACATTCTTCATACTGCCCAATATCGGAGCAAGGCTCTCTGACGTCTACAGCGCGTCAATAATAAACAGTCTTCGTCAAGTGACGGACGAATTCTACAATCTTACGGAAGCTCAAAAGATACACGACGACTTCTGGAGAACCGGCGCAGCTGCTAGAGTTTACGACACAGTTCTTGAATCGCACCAAACCTCAATTACACCTACCGACCAACAACATGAAGAGACTTCAGAGGCTGAGCATGAGCAAAAGACTTCTTGGTGCGGATTGGTCATTGCAACAGAATTATTCCTTGAACAGGTAGTTGTTCTCTGGCGTCCTTTCACGAAGGAGATATACCTCTGTAGCATGAGGATATTCCAGCGTGATCTCACTTCCACGCTCCAGAAGAAAAATACGCTAGAGATTGCAGAACTGTTATTCTGGGAATCGTTTCTGGGGTTGATGAGTCTTTATTTGCATGAGAAACTTGGGGATATGGAGCGAGAACCTGGTTTGAGGCCGTTTTTTGAAAGGATTATAAAAGAACAGAGTCGAGATATGAGGTTGGAGAAGTGGGAGGATGCAAGGAGGGTCTTGCTGAACATTGCATGGCCGTTGGACTTTTCTGAGGATGATTATGTAAAAGAAATATGGGAAGCTGCAGTATTTGACTAGATGCGAAGAAACAAGTAATTATCATTTCAGGTTAATGTATTGTTTTTTGAGTAGGACAGTGGTCAGCGATATGGATACGAACCGCCCGGGAGCCTCTTTGTCGGAGCATACAAGTTGCTTACACGCCGTCTATCCCACTGCAATCTTTGGAATCTAAAGAGACTTTACACTACTGTTCTGCTTTTGATTCTGGAAAGACGAACTCTCTTAGCCTCGCCATACCCATCCGATCCCCTTCTATAGTCTCCGCCACCTCCTTATCAACCCAGCCTCTGGTGTAGCCGCCACCGAAATCAGTAATCCACGCATTACTATCCTGATCTATCAAGACATTTTCCGCCTTTACATCACCCCAGATTATACCATCATTATGCAAGCCCGAAACTGCAGCCTCAATCTGGTCCATCCATCGTTGTCTCACTTCAAGCGGAGGGTCGTCAGGGTATCCGGGTGCGATCTTTGTTGATAGTGGGCAACCCCGGTTATCAATATAGGTGAGCAAAAGGCCAAGAATAAAGTCGTATTCATCCATGACGACACCATAAAGATGACAAAGATTTAGTTGAGAGTCCAAACTAGCAGCATGAATCAACTTGTAAGCTTTAAGTTCCTGCTTGGTTTGGACGCCAGAGGTGCATGGCTTGAAGAAACATTCAGTCTGGCAGTTTTCAATTAGAGCCTTGTCCGGCAGCTTGAAGAGCGCATCTTTGGGGTCCTTGAAGCTCAAGATAATTCCGGCAGGATCATAGAAGGCAGTCCAAGTCTCCAAGTCATCGCAAAAGTCATCGTCAAAGCGTACAAAAGATGGACGTGAAGGGGACGCCTCTGTTTCAACACGTCGAGGACATAGTTTTTCGTCAATGATGTCTAGTTGAAAGACAAAGAACTCGGGAAATAAATGCTCTTCCAGGGTGACTCTGATGTCTTTGGGGTTACATTCTGGAGCAGGCGCAAATTCAACCAGGAGAGGCTCAAACGGGGCCATGACCCATTCATAGACATCAGTATCGTAGATATCGCCGATGACCTCTTCGCGTGACTTGAGGACTTCAAGATATGTCATGTACTTCTCGGTCATGTTGGGAGAGTTGGTAAAATTGGTCGGTGAGATCGTGATGTAGAATACCCTCCCATTCCGGCAGACGGAGAAGCGGGCATCGTGATTATCGCTCCGAACGTTGGTCAGAATACTTTCGATTCTGTATTTCGGTGTTGTAGCCATCTCAAAAGTCAACCCGACAACTCAAGTAAGCGCAAAGATGAAGGGCGCTGAAGTGGAGACAACGGTGAACTGAACTGCGGAGTTTGACGTGTCACATTTCATTGGTGGGATACCTTGCAAAGGCAGATGCTTTTGTTGCACCTGGCTTTGAGGTCGGAATTTCCTTTCTCACTGAGTGCTGGGTCTAGAACACCACGCGATATTCATAGCAGTCACGCGACAGCTCCCTATGTTCAAGTTGGCAAGCCAGCGCGAAAATGAAATGCTTTTGGGTTCACTCCGCACTGAATTAGTGCTTTCAGATAACGAGTCTACCCCATATACTTTTTAGGAAGCGGTTCGCATACCACTAGCTCCACTGTGCCGAGATAGGCATGCATCCGCGAAGTGACCAATCACAAATGATGAGTTAGAATGTAACGAGATGAATAGCTATCACTTAAATTCGGCCTTCTCTAAGCTAGGTACAGGTCAAATATCACATATATTGTAGTCTTCTCGAAGAAGATTTAAAATTACATAATTTTCAAGATGACAAATACTGTTGTCGTTATCGGGTAAGATATTCAATCCACTGCATCAAACTTCAACTAACGATATCAAGTGCTGGTGTAATTGGCCTCACCTCAGCATTGTTGCTGGCCAAGGAGGGTAACAAAGTCACTGTTGTTGGCAAGCATATGCCCGGCGACTATGACGCCGAGTACGCCTCCCCATGGGCTGGAGCCAATGTCATTCCGTGAGCCAACCACTCATACCCTCTCCAAACCATTATACTAATATTTTCAAGCTTGTCACCCAAAGATGCGAGTCGTTGGGAACGACGAACCTGGATCGCTCTAAAGAAACTCGTCGAGGAGACTCCTGAAGCAGGCATTCATTTCCAGAGTAAGTTCTTAAAAGACTTGTGTGAAATGTCAAACAATGGCTAACATCGTAAGCAACGCATGTCCTTCGTCGGAATAAAGACACAGAGTCCGCCAAATCCGGATTCTCAGCCCATTTCTATGCCGACAACCCATGGTTCAAAGAAATCTTTAACAACTTCCGCAACAACCATCCATCTGAAGTCGCGACAGGCTACGACTCTGGCTTCCAATACCAAGGAGTTTGCATCAACACAGCCATCTACCTCCCCTGGCTTCTCGGCCAATGCCTCAAATACGGGGTCGTCGTGAAGCGCGGCATTCTCACTCACATCAATGAAGCAAAGTGTCTCAGCCATACCGGTGAAAAGGCTAATATCATCGTCAACGCCACTGGTCTTGGATCTTTGAAGCTCGGAGGCGTTCAAGACACAACTGTCGTACCAGCACGAGGTCAAATTGTCCTCGTTCGCAATGAAACACCCAAGAACCTACCGCTTTTCATGTGCTCTAGCACCCTCGACGAAAGCGGTGAGGAGATCTACGCTATGCAGAGGGCAGCTGGCGGTGGAACGGTTATTGGTGGGACGTATCAAATTGGGAATTGGGACACGCAGCCTGATCCGAATACCGCGAACAGAATCATGCAGAGGATTGTAGATCTCTGTCCCGATATTGCTGGAGGAAAGGGAATTACTGGTTTGAGTATTATTCGGCATGGTGTTGGGTTTAGACCTTATAGAAAGGGCGGTTTGAGGCTGGAGGAGGAGAAGTTGGATGATGAGACGTGGGTTATTCATAACTATGGGCATTCGGGATGGGGTTATATGGGGTCTTATGGATGTGCTGAGGGGGTGGTTGAGCTTGTTGGCAAGGTCACTGATAAGACTCGGGCGAAGTTGTGAGGTCAACATCAAGAACTGCCATTCAGCATGTTATTTACAATCACATTTCTGAAGAAAGTCTTTTCCAATCAGCCTCAATCATTTAAACTCAGAAATGCTTGTGAGTATACATCTCTCGTTTTCCAAACGAAACTCAAGACTGCGACAGACTTTGTGAAATATGATAAAAAGCTCAGACTGACACGCAAATTGCGGAAGACCCTATTTTTAACCTTTTATTCTATAAAAACGCTACTTATGGTCAAAATGCATATGGTGATGTATCATAATTCTCTATCTAGAGTAGAAATCCAGTGGTAAAAGGATCCTCCGGGTCAAGGTGAACATTCTTCTCCCCCGTAATCCAAGCCCTCCCCTTGACAGTCGGCAGCACCGCATCCAACTCCCCCACCTTCGTCGTCCCTCTAATCCTCCCCACAAACTCGGTGTTAATAATACTCCTAAACTTGACCGACTCTCCCTCCTCAATAAGACCCCTCGCATGCAGAATAGCCAGACGCGACGAACTCCCCGTTCCGCAAGGACTCCTATCCAGTCTTCCCGGCGTTACAACAACAGTGTGCTTGACAGTCTTGCCTTCTTGTCCTTCTTCCAAAGGCTCTGTGATGATGACGTTGTTGATACCGCAGATGGCCGGGTTCTCAGGATGCGTGGGCATGCAGTTCGCCAAGACTGCTTGTTTCAATCTCTTGCCGAAATCGATGAGACGATCGGCATTGACTGTTTCCACTCGAAGACCCAGCGCTTCTGCTTTGACGAGCACGTACCACTGTCCTCCATATGCAATATCCACCACCACAGTTCCCAGCCCAGGAACGTCAATCTCTTTGTCGAGAGCATAAACGAATGCCGGGACGTTATCAAAAGAAACAGATCTGCACTTCCCATTCTCACACTCCGCCGTCGCAACCACCAATCCAGCAGCTGTGTCCAGCCTCACAGTAGTCATAGGCTCAACCATGGGAACAATTCCCGTCTCAAGAAGAACAGTCGTCGTGCAGACACAATTCGATCCAGACATTGGGACCCAATCTCCCGGCGCCATGATAAGGAAACCTGCATCTGCATCAGGTCGACAAGGCGGGACAATTAAATTAACGCTCATCTCCAAGCGTCCTCTGGGTTCTTGGAGAAGTAGTTGTCGAAGATCATCTCGCTCAGCCATGTAGTATGTGAGCTTATCGTGCATTGTTTTAGCTGGTACATCGAGGACGCCGCCGATGATAACATCGCCGACTTCGCCTTCTGCATGGCATGTAACGATAGAGATGACTCGTTTTGAGCGCATGGTGAGTTATGTGAAATTTTCAGATTTAGGTATTGATATTTGAGTGAGAAAGATGGGTGAGTTCAATTGGCGTGCTTTTATCTATAGTCTTTAGTCTGATTACACTTGATTGGCGTCTTTTTGGAGGGGTTCGACTGATTTGGGCGAGGGGCGGAAAACTACCCATTTTGGAACGCCCATGTTGAACGCGGCTAGAGATCCCGAGCAGCCACGCAAAACGGGAAGTGTAGTATCAATTAATACGAATGACCTAAAGTGTTAGATAACAAGTCAGGTGCTCAAGAATAGCTAATGGTCGCTCAACCATTTATTACTAAATGCAGGACCGTTACCTAACAGGTCATTTCAACACCAACCCTGCACGAGAACTCTGCACTATAAGGAAGGGAATGATGTTAAAAAGACTCGGGTTTATTCACATGTAACTATATACAAGCCATGAAAGATATGTTGTCGCCAGCAGAATTTTACTAGAGCTGGTTGCTTGATAAGCCCAATTCACGAACAACACGAGCCTTAGACTTCCATCCCCAAGCTGAAACATCCCGCTTGTTCATAACAGCCACACTCTCGTTGTAATCGCTAGTGCCGTTCTCCGGATCAGCATCCTTAGCCTCACAAGTCGGTCCCGCATTGGGCGCACCAAGCGCACCCTCAACGGCACTAAACTTCTGCTTCTCCATCGTAGTAGCAACCATGTTCTTAGCCGCCTCCTCAGTCCAGCCGTTGATGAAGTCGCCATGCGAGCAGAACGCATTTCCGCACGCAAGCTTGAAAGGCGCCTCGCCGCTCCAGCCGTTGGGGAGGACCTTGCGCAGGTCGTAGCGGATGCTAAAGCGCAGCTGGGGCATGGACTTGCTGCCCTCGGGACACCAGTTGGCGGTGCCGTAGTCGCGCGACTTGTAGGCTGTTTCGAGGGTTTGTTCGTTGACGCACTGGGGGAAGTAGAGGAGTTGCTGGAGGTGGGTTGCGCAGGTTGAGGTAGGGAATCCGTTTGCGCCGAGGGGGATGGGCTCGCTTTCGCACATCCACTCCGCTTTGGCGTCAGCTGGCATATCAGCCTGAGTCTGAGCAGTGGCATCACCCGCGACCATTTTCAAGTTCTGGGGAATAGGAACCTCAGCGGGTGTTTCGCCAAGGTTATAGTAAGCGCTGAAGCGCATAACAGGGATAGGCTCGAAGTTCTTTCCATCAGCAGTGTAGAGCGGCGTAGGGATCCAGTAGACGGAAAGATCGTTGGGATTCTCGGCATTGGTGCAGCCCTTTTGCAGCTCAGCGCTCGTCTTGGTGTTGACGGTGACGGCATCGGAGCCGAAGAACGAGTGGAGATGAGACTTGCTGTACTCTCCGGGAAAGACAATTGGATCGATGTTCTTGAGCATGAAGGGAGAAGCAACATTGACCTGGGTGTAAGCCTGAGCGGCGCCGACAAGAAGGCCGGCAGCGAAAAGAATGGAGGAAGACATCTTGCGTCTAGCAGATTATAAAAGAATCAGATAAGATAAGAATAAAAGGTACAAGAGAAATGTAGTGACAGTCAATGTCTAACGAATGAAAAAGAACGAGTGTAGTTTGAACCAAGAACAAAAGCACAGATGACGACCAAACACTTGGTTTTAATACCAACGCCAAGCTCCCATCTCGCATCTTGAGAAACCATCCCGCGTACCCCCGCCGATGTTTCGTTGAGATATGCTTAACAGAGAATAGAGATGAAAGACTCGAAATATCATTAGCGGAAGAATTCACATCTGTAACAAGGAGTTCAATGTAATTGGTCAATTGCATCGCGCTTGGAAACGTTGGAAACGCTGGGCCTTGTAATGTCCGTTTTGAAACAGGGAGAGCTTCTCTATTTGGGTGTTCCCGCGTTTCAGTATTAGGGCGGCATTGCTAAGCGACGGTGGCTTTCGGAGCTGAGGCTTGGCTGGCAGAGAATTGCTTTTATACGCGTATAAGATTTAGCACCTTTGTTTGGTAGTTCCCTACCCTGCGGCACCGACTTTTCAATCAGGCTTTGGCTATAAAAAAGAAGGCATCCATCCCATTTCAACTTTTTTAAGCCGTGATTACCTCTGCATCATCACTGTCCAAGTTATCTTGCGCAGCATACAGACTATTGCCACTGCGGCAGGCCAGGAGTACGTCGCATTTTTGAACTAAGTTGTATCCTTTACCGTGACATCAGAGCTGAAGCCCCTTCAACTATCCACCTCAATACAGCTGTGGCATCAATTCCTGATGGAGGTAGAGTTATTTGATGATTTTGCTCTTCATGTTTGTGTTATCTGCCCAACCCTGGGTATCGCAAACCGACAACTTGGCGCTGTTGGTCTTTGTCAAGCCGTTCTGATAAGCGAGGCCAACTAACTCGCGCGTTCTCTTATCGAATGGCTTCTGACTGCGATTTCACTATTTTAATCAATAAACCGACAAAGCACGAAAAGCAGTCCAAAAAGCCAATCGCGATTCTCATATCTATCCCTCACTGTAGTTAGTAGAAGCATTTCTCTGATGGTGGGTCGTCACTTTTAGAAGTTCTCCAGTATTCCATTTTTTTAAGATTAAGGTAAGGAAAAAGCTTACCCGCCATTCTTATCTGATGTGAGAGACAGAGTGCTATTCCCGGCCCGGTTTTCAGATGAAACACCTCGTGAAACTTGGATATTTTGTGCTCATATATCCAGTCTTATGCTAGAACTATGAAAGGCACAGCTCATTATGCATTTATGTCAAAAAATCATATCATGGAATGGAATGACAGACGATGTGATGAGTGTCCCAAAAAGGATGCATCCTTCAATCAAGCGAGATAGGATTATGATTCTTCGGTCCATGAACCTGCATTTCGGGATTGCTGACAGGTAACATTTGAGCAAATATTCCCGAGCTGTCATTAAGCGATGTTGTGAAGCTGAGCGCTGTCTACGAATGACAACCTACAACTAACATCACATCATAATCAAGGACCAATCCAAAGTCCCTCCAACCCAAGCACTTCCAGGCCACCCCTGTCTAAAAAAGTTGGCAAAAGCTTGAAAAGTCTTTTATGGAACTCCAGTATGACGAATCTCCTGATGATCTGCAACCCATCCATGCTGCAAACGGTTGCATCTTTCACATTGTCTCCACATATCACTTCATCAGCAGTCAGCTTTTCATTTCCACAATGTAATCAGGAGATATTTCCCTCAAGCTCGAATCTGTCCTGAAGATCACCCCTCTAACTCGTACCTGGATCGCAACTACTGTGTTCCACTTGGTTCAAAGTTAAAACTCTATCGGAGGATATTCGTAACTGTAGGGCTGGTCCCGGGATTTGCAACTTCTGACACCGGCATCTAAAAACTAGGGGTCTCGCCAAGCCTAGGAACACTCAAGCTGAAATGTGGTGGATGCCTTCCATATACATCCGCTCAACCAACAGAGCGTAAGCACAGCCCAGTGCAGACACAGTCCGCGAATCCTTTGAGATGACGGGACATGGATATTCAAGAGTTTCTGCGGGTCACTTTACCCGATTTTCCATAAAAGTGACAGTACATCATCCCAGGCTTTGACTGTGATCTTCTCTTGTTCTTGTTCTTCTTCTTCCCTTCCTCACGCGATCATGGCTGTCGCGGCAAGTTTACCGTCGCGCCCTGCGCTGAGAGTTGGGGTTGTCGCCGCACTGGGCATTTTCTTCTTTGTCGTTCTTTTTACTTTTTATTCTGACACTGTACGATCGCCTGTTGAGTTTGCGCATCGAAAGGCACAACAGTACTGTGACTCGTCGCAAACGACGTGAGTGTTCCATCTGTCCGGTTGATCTTATGCTAACAGTATAGAAGCATTCCTTCTTTTACACCAACACCAACTCCGGTATCGACAGTCACTCCTGAACCAACACCAGAGCCTATACGTAATTGTGAAGACCCGTATCGACGACCGGGATATCTTTATATACCCAAAGAGCCGAAGGCTTACAGAGATACACAATGGATTCCTTTCACGGAAGATTACCTCAACTCGGAACCGCCCGAGTACGCCGCTTACCCACCCAAGCACGAGATTATCTTCAATGACACAGCTGTTGAGCCAGAGTATCTCAATGCTGCTGGGAACCCTCAACAATGGATGCGCATGGCTATCGTTGAGAGTCGACGCCGTCGTAAAGCAGTAGAAGCTACTGTCCCACCAACCAGGAACACAACAGTCAATGACTTTGTTCAGATGAAAGAGGACAATGGTCTTGGCTGGCTGTGGGGTCGTCGTGTCGTCATGTTCGGAGACTCTGTCGATCGCTACATGACACAATTCTTCTGCGAAGAGTTCGATAGCAAGATGTATCTCCCCATCCAAGACAAATCAGGCCGCCAAGCAAAAGGCATCTGCGAAGTGCCCGCCTTCAACCTCACCCTCGTCTACCTCCACTCCGTTGGCTCCTTCACCTACCGTCCAGACTGGTGGTGGATCGAAAACCTCAAGAACGTCGCCTGGGAAGAACGCTGGAACATCTTCTGGAAGCCCCACGAAGCACCCATCCAAGGTCCCTCCGGCCGTCCCGATTTAATCCTCTGGCAGAATGGTCTCTGGGATCAGCGTGCTTTCTGGGAGGGAGGTGCGGCGATGCATAATGAGGGGGATAAGCCTATGACCTTGAAAAACAGGCAGATGGCTTGGGAGGAGGTCCGTTTTGTGACTGCGCGTATAAAGAAGATTGCCAAGCGGCTTAATGATGAGTTTGGGGAAGATGTTCCGATTATGTTTAGGGCATTGACGGTTCATAGGGAGAGTGGTATGGGCGATGCTATAATGATGGAGATGGATCGTTTGGGTAGGGCTGTGGCAGAACAGGCTGGCCATGAGATTTTTGAATGGGCTAAGTTGATTCATCTACTTGGGAATTTGTATCAGGATGGTTTACATCTTGGGAAGGGAGCAGCGAGTTGGCTTTGGGGGAATATGGTCTTGGAATACCTCGCGAGGTCTTCTGGTTCGGAGGTTGGTGGTGAGGCTAGATCACCTTACTTCAATGGATGGGAAGCGTGTCACAAGGAGTTGTCAGGCTGGGGAGGAAGATAAAAAGAAACAGTTCTCTTACATAGAGTACATTCCTCTAGCATTCAACCTTCGTCTAGAAACATAGGTAGCCACAGGTCTGAACTGCAAATGGTTAAAACTCACACATTGTACCACAATGCGTTACTAATGGCTATAAAATAAATTCTCAGTAGAAAATAACGTAAAATGCAATTGCTTTCCCCGACCCCGCGCCCTTGGCCCTTCTTTAGTCCCTCAAGCGCTTAGAAATGATCGCTAGCCACCCCGCGACTCTGTTTTTTCTTACTTTGAAGCTCATACTTCGTTTTTTTGCGCCGTTTCAGGGGGCTGCATCCCAGGTAGAACACATTGATCCAGGTTAAGAGAATCCGTGAAAACCTCACTGTGGCGTCTTAGCCCCAGTGCCTCAAACGCATATGAATGCTCGATAGCAACTTCGAGAATCTGTTTTGTGACTCTGAAGTTCGTTCCTTCTTCATTAAGGAGCGCCATGAAGGCCTTGGGGCCCCGTCTGATTGCGCTTATCGCCACCTCATCACTGACGTCTTTCTCCTGCCTCCGTATCCAATACATCATCTCATATAGAAATCCATAGCGTTTGTCCTTAGCCAGCGACATCAACTTGTCTGTGATCTGTAGCTTGCCCTCTCCGTATCCACAAAGAGATCTCAAGACATGCCAAGGCTTTTTCTCGACATCATAGTCGTGAGGTCTTATAATACAGGAAGCGACATAGGATTCTGTCATTGTCAGTTTGGAAGATGACTTCGGGAAGAGGTATGATAATATTTCGTCACCCGCTTCAATAGCTTGTCCATACACCCTTTTCGTTACATTAAAAGGCTTTATACAGACTGTAAGCAAGCGCTTCAGCGTGCCCAGACCGTTCTTGATTGATGTGATAAAGAGGTCTTCGTCTAGTTCAATTGTGCTTTCCATCGTGGCTAGAACGAGCTGAAGAGCACCTGGACCGGCTACGATGCTCTTACCAATCAGTTCTTTTGTTATCATGATTGGCTTTCTGGACTCATCAAGGATGTGGAGTCCTCCGGGAGTTGCTTCTAAGAAGATATTTTCGAATACTTCGATTGGAGATCGAGCTTCTTCCAGAAGAATCTGCACGATATCTCTATGAATATGTATGGCTGTCAGTAGCATCTCTTTCGATATATCAATGGGAGATTCGCAGTTATCGAACAGCGCTTGGCACATTGGTAGCCCCCTTGGTATGACCTGTAACAAAACATCGTGCCTCAACTTTTCTGGATCGGAATATGATTTAACAAGCCGCTCGAAAATCTGAGGTCGATATTCTATAGCTCGAGCGACGAATCTCGGCATATCCTGAAACGTACAGTCAGGTCTTCGCAACAGGACCTCAAATACATCAGGGAACCTCTGGAGGCATTCCAAACCGACGTCTAAAGAGATATCAGGAAGAGGTGCACTCTTATCCAAAAACGCTTGCATGGCCCTGCTTCCATGCTGCATCACATAGAAGAGATCGCCATCCTTGATCATTGAGATCAAGCTTTGACGGCACAGAAAATGTTCCAGCAGATCTGTTCGAAAGGTGCTCCGGAGTACTTGCTGAAGCCTTTGCTTGGATATGGCTGGAAGCTTTTGCTGCAAATCCTGAATATTCGATGCTGGTGAATCATGAGCTGGCCACTCCCCACCTATAATGTAAGCATATAAGTCCTTCATCACCACATGCTCCTCCTTGGCGTAATCTGGTTGAATGTGGCTTCCTTTCATATCTGTCGCCATACCGAGTAATGCGTATACTCTGTCTCGCGGATCTGTGGCTTTGCATCCTCTGAACTTCCACAGCAGGCTGCTAAGGTTTCTGGTTTCTTTTCGCGATGTCGAGGGTGTCGATGGATGGGGCATGATATCTAGGACAGCTTTACACTGTTCATCGACCTCAACGTCCATAGCATGTGGAAGTAGGGCGAAAATCCACCCCGGGACTTCCCCCAAATTACATGTCACGATAGTCCTTTTCGCGTTGGCCACTTCCTGCAAGATCCAAACTCTTGAAAACCAGGGTTTTTGCATGAAGCTTTTAAGGCCGTCTACCAACTTATCGCGACACAAAGGTCCGAAATTGGCTTCAACCTGTCTCCACTGCGACTTCCATCGGGGATCTTCTCGAGGCCATTTTCGAGGGATGCCTGGCAATTTTGCAACTTGCGCTTCGAGCATGGTGATAGCAGATTTTAGCTGTGTGGCATTTCCACTCAGATATCCAAGCCAGACGATCACTCTGTCGGCTTTCTTGTAGATCTCTCCCATGCGATTAACTTGATGACCGCGCTCCTTGATATTGGTCTGGTCAATACACAGAGCATCAATCCAAAGCATCCGGTCCTCGTCAGGTCTCCTCAAGTGACGGAGAGCGTCGTGTAGGCTTTCCGTGATTGACAATGTCTTCTCGTCTACCATGATCTCATGAGGTGTGCTTTGGCTTTCCCAAGAATATGACACTGCTTCATAGGGGATTATGTCGTTGAGGTACACTTGGACAAGGCGGCACCGTATTTGAGATTGAGAACCTTTCTCAAGTAGTGCTAACCTAAATCCAGCACTTTCCAAATCGAATGGGTTGTATTGAAACCGATATGTAAAGGCATGTTCGACTTCCAGTTGGGCGGTACTGATCCGATGAGAGATAAACATGGTACAAATAACCGTGGTCATTCTTAATCTGCGTATCGCAGACTCATTCAGGCTTCGAGAACTCGAACTTATAGAACTGACCGTGCCGCAGACAGTCAGGAATGGAAACCTTGATTTAATACATGCAGCTGCTCGTTCGAAACACATGATCTTATTGTCGCTTCCGACCTTGTTGGCCAAATCACGATCATATAAGAGACTATCAGATGATGCCACTTTGCCGCACAAGACTTTGGTTGGTTCACGGAGACCCTGTTTGAGCCGCTGATGGTCCTTTGTGGAGCCAAGCTCTGCTCGCGGTGAATGATCTTGTAGATATTTGCTCCATTGCTGTCGGCCTTGTGTGGACTTGAGACTATTGATAACGGATTTAACGGAGGAGGGTGGATGGCTTGTTTCAAACGTAGTCGAAATGTGGTTCGAGGTGATTGTCTCATCTGCATTGAACTGAATTAGCCCAGGCTGGCGCCCTTGTGGAAATCCCACGACAATGTCGCCTGGTTTTGCAAGGCTATCTTCAGGAGCTGTAGCATCTACTCCGATGAGAAAACCAGCTCGAATTGAAGAGTAAGCTTCGAGTAAATTGTCGACAGTGTCTTTGACGAAGATGGAGACATTGGTCATGTTCTCAGCTTTTCCGACCAGGACGACATTGTGAGGGCCGACTTTTCCAAGAGAGCATGCAGCTCCCGAGCTTTTCAAATGATACTCTGGCGAGGGTTCGTCCAACAATGCTCTGGCCGTTTTATAATCTTCTGGCAAAGGCGCCACGATTGCGATATGGTAATTCTTCGATCGTGGCGTATTCATGACCGGTGGGCGAAGAAAGTTCATGCAGCTGGATATAACCTATTCAATGTGGTTGAAATTGAGAGAGCTGATAGGAAAATGAAGTTGAAAAGGAAGGGGAATGTGAAAAAGCATATCATTCTTTTAATGTCAGACTTCAGATGTCCAGCTGCGAGACTTTGTGCCACGTCAGAACTGCATTGAGGCTTGGCAAGCCACCATGCTGGTGATCAATCAAGCCAATCAATCGACAGACACAGCCTGCGGGGATGGTTACACAAAAATGTAATTACAATCAAAGTGGAAATACATTACAATGCCTTGGCTGATAAACGTGACGATGTCATTGCATGAGCGAAAAATACCAACGCCAATCTATACAACTTTCAAGTGCATCCCATTCTTGACTAAGAATACTGCTTCCCTCTCATCTAAACGTCATTATCTGAGCGCTTTTTGTCATCGAGTACCGTCCACCGCTCACATACAGCCTTGTCAATATCCGCGAAGCTCCCCCCCTTGGTCCATCTGGGTATTCTCCAAAAGTCCACCCCTCCCCGCACTCCTAGACCTGAGCCATCGTTACTATGAAGCACACGCCTCCACTCGCGATCTACCCACTTTCCGTCATCTCTCTTTGAAACTCCCTCGGTACCCCACGGACGATTCAAAGTCGGCCTAACCTGGTCGTTCTGCATCTGGTAGTCGTGGTACATCTTGTAAACATTGTCGTCGGGGTCAATGTGGAAGCGATGGCATTCTCAAGGAAAGCCAAGGCTAATGTTAGGGTCGATAAGATCCCAGTAATCCAGAAACCAATGCTCTTCGATAGTCTCGAAAGGGATGATCGCACTGTACAGTGCTTCCCAACAGCGCTGAGAATCCGAATCACTGACTACGCCGTTGCAGCTAGCTTTTGTAGGAGTAGTCATAAATCGCATAGCTTGCACGATGCCTCTCAGCATGTTCTCTTCAAGCTGGTTGAGCACTCGATACTCGTTGAGAATCTCAATCTTCTTGGCAAACACATCTGCAGCTTCACCGCGGTACTCCTCCGCCCAGGCCGTAGAGCTATCCATCAGATCCAGGAAAAGTCCCCAGACCGTGTGTAGTACATTGGTGAGTTTCCACCACGGCTTGTCGACTGTTTCCACTACTCCTCCTCCGAAAAGCAAGTGTTCGGGTTCCTGTAGGCGGTACTTCCCTGCCCATCTTTGCATGAGGGGATGGGGGAGCTCCTCATATGTGACCTCAAAATCTACAAGGCGGCGCGCATAATCTCGGAGGACAAGCTCAAGAAGATAAGGTGGGCAATGGGAACGCAAAGCCACGTCTAGAGGCCCTGTGATATAGCGGACTAGTCCGACATCTTCCCAGCTTCGACACATAAATGAATCAAAATTCATGTTGTGAGGGAGTGAATAACCATGGCTGTGCAGCATCTTGATCATCTGGCAGATGCCTTCTGTGCGGGCACGATCAGGACTCTTGCTCAGGATCATGAGCAGGAATTCAGGGACGTGGTCACAATAGTCGTTTGCTGCGTACCACGGCTGATCTTGCTGCTCTTTCATGTCAAACTGTCTTTGCAGAAGCCACTCCAGAGCGTCGGCACACTTGTCAATGGGAGTTTCGCCTAGGTAAAGGCACTCCAGTAGCTCATCGATGGGCCTGTGGTGGGTATGTCGACGCTCAGAGATGCATTGACAACCGCCAGACTCAGGCAGTTCCCATCTCGTATCAGGTGCCGCTCCAAACTGGGCGCATCGTTCCATTGCCTTGACATCAGCTTTTCTCAGTGCCTGACGGAACGCGCCGCTGTTATCCCCCAAATAGTAGAATGGGAGGTACACTTGGTGGAGAGGAGGGCTGAGTAAGCATAGCGCCTTGAAATCCGCAGCTGAGATGATGTTTTGGTCTTTTCCGGGTTCACCTGAGATCAGGAGAAGGACTTCAGTGGGGAGAAGGTCCAGTGTCACTGGTTGGGACTTTTGGGAGGTCTCCATATCAGAAGATCGGGACTCGGGATTCTGACTAGGGCTTTGTTCAGAAGACATGTTTCAGGTTTCTGTTGTGTTGATTTGTTGTAGTTTTGTGTGTTGGTATGTTTTGTAGTAGTTGATAATTGGGTATGTTGATGAGAACGATGAGCATAAAACCTACGAGTCGAATAGTTCACTACTTATACATGGACTGAACATTGACTAGACAGAACATTAAAATTTTTATGTTTTGAATGAGATGCTGTTACGTCTGAAAATTTCTTTCACTGTTCTTTGCCGCTGTATGTTCAAAGAACCACACAAGAAATTGCTTTGTTCCCTGTATCAGGAACTTCCTGAAAAAGCAACCAACGATCAAAAGCGTGGACCGTTTTCTGATGAATCTCGAAAAATGAGCTAAGTATAGATCTGACTTTCGTACAGTCTCTCCATCAACAAAGCAAGTGACCATCCTTGTTGGACACATACTCATGTGCCACGGCCGCTTCTACCAATCTCAATCAGTTACAGTCTCACAACATTTATGCCCGAGGTCAACTTACCAAGAGGAACAGCGACCTTTTCACTCTGTCCCTCACAAGTGCATCTGATCCAATACTCTGCACCGCCATACCACGGATCAGGCGCTACTAACATCTCGCATCCGTGACAGCTTTCAGCAAAGTTTCCATGATAAGTTGGCTAACAAATTGCTTAGATTTTAAAAATAGAATCACCTTACACGAGCACGACTTACTGTAATGGTGGTACCGTCATAGCCGAAACAGTCGTTGAGGTCCAGCTCGGAGGGGATGTAGCCTGAGTTATCGCGAGGCTGGCATTTACCCGACAACGTGTTTGTTTCAGAGTTGAAGGCGATGTCAATACAGGTTCTGTCGATCTGAGCAAACGCGACACCCAGAAGGGTCAACAAAGCTGCGATGCCTTTGGCCATTTTGTGCTGTTTCACTGGCCGAGTAGGGTTATCTTCACAGCAGTAACCTCACTTACTGCTGGACTTGGTGGGGAATATATGTCTTTATGTGATGGCTCTAAAGAGAGGCCATGCAGTGATCCTACCACTCGGGTAAATGAGCTCTGATCCTGACTGCTTCAGCTATAGCATGTGAATCCTTCGCCTGAGTCTAGTGTCAGAAACACATGACCCGAGGGAGAGTTGGTGTTGGGACACTGAAACACAATAGGTTCTTCCGTAATAAGTAAGTCCTACTTGACGATTGAGGTAATATCGGAGCTTCAATGCATTACTCACCTACCTAAATCAGCTCATGCTGCATATCTCGCTGATCCTCCGGGAATAATCCTTCAGAGAAGTTTCTTTCTCCGGCTTACATTCCCCGCAAGCTGAAGTCTGGGCTGCATTAGATACGGTTAAGCCTGGATGAAGGTTCATTTCAGGCGACCATGTTTTTAATGTGACACGGAATTCCGTCTTTCCCGAGCCACTCATGCGACGATAGGATCCGCCAAATATTCAATAGTATCGCTCAGGAGAACTATTTCCCCTTTCCAAGAATACGATTCAAGTCCTGTTCACAACCTTTCAAAGAAGAAGAAAAAAAGACGTCTTACCTTCAGCTCCAGGGGTTGCTCTAGCTAGGAGCTGACTACGCTAAACATCAACAGATTCAACATCTTCTCTTGGAACTAATTTATATCCATTTATCAACCATTATATCTATCATAAGCATCATATCACCGTCTAATAATTCGTCCTGCTCTGATCCCCATACCCCTCCATCAAAAACTCCATATCATGCCACCCCGTCATCTCCATCTCACTCCCCGGCACATACTGCGCCAAAGATCCCTCAGCCATCCCATACCCCGGAAACGGCAAAAAGTCCAACAGTCCCTCCATCGATCCAAGTGCCACCCCTTGAGTCTGCTGCACTTGCGCCTGTTCAGCGGACCAACCAGCTGGATACGGCAGATTGTTCATGTTGATCCCCTGCGGGGGTAAATTCGCTATACCCGGAGGATCAGTTGGATTATTGGCGCACTCCGAGAACGTATCAACGACTTGAGCCAGTCGCTTCATTGAGCCGCATTTATCCGTGTGGTTGATGACGTTTCGTAAGGTCGCGACGAGACGGCGGACTTTGCTCTGCAGCATTACTTCATCTGGTCCGATGCTCTCTGCACCTTCGCCAGGGCGCAATCGTAATAACCGCAGGATGAGTATCATGGCAGAGCAGTAAGCGTAAAAGATGTCTAGACCAGAAAGGCCGTTGATAACATCAAAGTGATCTAGGAGTATCATCAGATAGCTCAGTTGGCATGCATGCTTCACGCATAGAGCTGCATGTGTAGGAACCGCAGTTTTCGGTGCATCTTCTTTCCGTGCTGCTGCGACGTCGCGAAGAAGAAGTGGACGTGTGGCAACGATGGCGATGTAATGAAAGTGAATATGCAAAAGCAGCACCGCGCGAAGTTGAGCTCTTGTTTTCCACGCCAGTGATACCTTGAGTTCCTCCATATCAACAGCCCCTTCATTATCAATGGATTCCAAGGCCGGCCCCTCCATTTTCATCCATGAGACATCGAGACCGGGTGCTTTCCCAATATTCCGCTTCCAACCATTCAGCGTATTCAATATCTCATCAAGCGTCGGTCCTGAAGCTCGATTTATGCCAACATGTAAAAGTCTTGTTCGCGCGAGAATAGCTTGAAGCTTTACAGACCACGATACAAGTCTTGCATCTGTTCCTATGCCTCCTTCTACAAAACCCTCTCGTGGTGGGACGACTTCAACGTCGAGTTCTTGAAGGCCACTAGGTCGACCAAGACTTGAAGCTAGGAATTGCTCGAAGGAGTAGAGTGTGCAAAAGACCCATTTACGAACTTCTCGTTCTAGAGGTCTGAAGGAGGCACTCATGTCTGAGCGATGAAGACCAAGCGCGAAGGAGATCCGAGTAGCTGTCCCGGCAATGTTCCACGCAGCGTTTCTTTCATTATTGTTGTGCAAAAAGAGTGAAAGAAGTAGTAAAACTCGAACATTCGTAAGTGAACACTTCGAGATGAACTGGGGGAGTAAGCCTCTAGCGACTGCAATAGATCTCCTTCGAAGAGCAGAATGATCAACATTGGGTATCGACCTATCAGCAATAGAGCCAAAAACCACAATCATATGAAGGCAGCCTATCCATCCCCAGTCCGGTAATCGCAGTGGTCTCGAAGGAAGTCGAGAATTGCTGCGAGCTTCGACGATGAAACTTTCGTATTCTTCTTCAAAGGTAGCTCTGTGAAAGAGAGGAAAGTCATCGTGGACGTTCTTAAAGTATGACTGAATGAGCAAGTCAAGGGCTTCGTTAGGAGGAAATTGACCAAGTATTTCATCCATATCTGCTGTTGGAAGACGGGTAAAGTCGCGGGCGATAGCTGAGGTGATTGTTCCAGGTGAAGATCCATCTTGAGGTGTTGTTGTAGTACGTGGTGGCTGGTCATCTTCGTCTTGGTCATCGGCTTCTAAAAGCCGACTTGTGTTATCCTGCGTAAACTTTGTGGCTCCTTCACGACCGGGCGATTGATAAGGGCTGTTATTAGATTCCACCAGATTCCGAAGCTGATTCCAAAAGTTGAGAGTTCCTGAAGGTCCGATATAGTGCTCATGGCCAGAGTTATCTTTCACAAGCGACGATTGCGGCTCTTCACTATGTGACTTTGAACTCCTCGGCGATGTGTCACCCCTCGAATCCGCCGCGATGATATCCGGGCCTGTACTTGGAGTCTGTTCTTTACTTGGAGGATTCTGCACTAGGTCTTCAACTCTCATGTGTGTTCTGTTTGGGTCAGAGATATCAGGCATCTTATACCCCATCTTCTGACCCAGTTTTGCAAGATCACTAACATGATCAAGAGTCTCATTCGGAAAAGCGCCTCTGACAATAGCTTCGAGACATCGATACCTAGTGGTGTCAACGACGTTACACAAGCTGGACAGAAGTGAGACAGACCTATCACTCAAATCATCCACACTCCCGTAGAATCGCGTCTTTCGTGGCGCCGTATACGAGCAAGTGACGTTATGTTCAAGACAATTCACACAGCCTGCGCCCGAAGGATCAGGTACACATTTGCACCTCCTCTACACCAAGTCAACACCAGCCCATAACGAACAACAACCCAACATCTTTACTCACCTTTCGACAACGATCACAGCTTTGGGCGTTCCGTTTACGGGATTCGTCAGGGATACGCCGCAAACGACGCTTCGCATTTGCAGATTCAGACATGGTTTATAGTGTTACACAGGGAGGGAAAAGGACTCATCGAATCGATGCTTCCCGGATCTGGGGTTCCTTTTCCCGCGGGACGGAAGCATGCTTCCGATGGGATACGTAGATGGCGTGGGAATAAGACGCTAATGGAATGTTACGCTCAAGGTTTGGGGATGGAGAAACTAAAGACCGCTGGCTACCCTACGCCTCAAGGTCGGACCAACATGACGACGTCTCTATCAGTATAACATTGGCATTTGACATGTTTTTTCGGGTTGTCAATTCATCTTTTATCTGCCATAGGACTCATCTTATCGCGAGAAATAACATCAGGATGGCTAGTTCTTTGACTCTCCCCGATTCCAGAACATTGGCTTACGCTTTGGACTCGTCACCGAAAGAAGGACCCCTCATCATTTTGTCAAACTCCCTCACTGCACCACTTTCAGTGTGGGATCACGTCGTCAAGGTCCTCAACAGCAATGGTTATCGCACTCTACGCTACGATCAGCCCGGCCATGGCGGATCATCCGCACCAAAGGACCTAAGCCCTACGTTTGACTCTATGGCTGAAGACGTCCATCATCTTCTCAAGAAGCTCGAGATCAACAAGGTCTACTCATGGATCGGAGTATCAATGGGCGCATCGGCGGGTGTATACTTCACAACCAAGTATCCCAACGTGGTAAGCAAGCTCGCCATCTGCGACACCATCTCTTCATCGCCCATCAACGCCGGCACAGAAGATGCCTTTGGTCCGCGCGTTGCCGCAGCCCGAGAAGCAGGTAATCTCGACGCAACGATCCAAGGCACTCTAGAGCGATGGTTCGGCAAAGAATGGCTCGAGAAAAACCCTCAGGAAACACAGCGTATGCGAACAGTCATGTCTGGAACCACGATCGATGGTTTCGAAGCATGTTGTAACGCACTGAGAAGCGAGACCTTTGATCTTCGACCGAGGTTTGCCAAGATTGGTTCGAGTGTTGATGATGCGATTTGTATCGTTGGCGAGAAGGATGCGAATCTACCAGAGACTATGAAGGAGATGAGAGATAAGATCAAAGAGGGGTTTGAAGCAGCGGGTAAAAGCAACAAGATTGATTTGGTGATTATCAAGAATGCTGGCCATGTTTCGTTTGTAGATGGGTTTGAGCAGTTCACCGCTGAGGTGTTGAAGTGGTTGAAAGCCTGATTACGCGTGTCGTTCCTACACCATGTATCGTATAATCAGAGGAGTCTTGCTCTCCAATACAAGGATCATGTCGTATCAGTTCAACTCCCGCTGCTAGGTCGGTAAGCCGAGGCTATCACCAACTCCCCAACCCCGCACCATGAAATGTCGGTATTTCACCAATGACACCTTTCAACCAAGTTTGCATGCAAAGCAACAATCTGATGTAAGATAGATAGGTGATTCGGGGAACTTAACTTGATCATCACCTCGAAACGAATTATCACAAGATCCTAGTCGATAGCATCGGCGAACGTTAAAGGTGGAGTAGTGCCGAGACTAGCCATCACCCCCCGACTCGCCGATCGGATATTCAGCCACCAAATTCTGTTGTGCATGATGCACTCAGTGTTGGCCGATGGTGCAGATTCTATGCCATGGGCTTGCATGAAATTTCGATAGTTTGGCAAAATCAAGAAACTTGGCCGAGTTTATCGAAAAGCCACTTTTGACAGGTAATTAGATTGTCGTATCCTAGTCGAAGTCACTCTAGTGCAACATCGGGAAAAAAGCCAATTTACATAGGATTCAGATGGTCATTACTCATTATGATAGAAAAGACTGCACTCTAATATCCAATTATACTCTCCAACTTTTTTAAGATTCACCCCTCGGGACTGTCGTGATAGGTGGTTCAAGAACAACCGTTCTTCCATGCTTGATCAGCTCTGTAGCTTGCATAAAGAACGAATCAATCCTCAGAATAACAGGCCGCAAGAAGACCCTAGCAGCTATATCATCCGTACCGCCAAGTCTCTGCAATGACGAATGGAACTTCTCCAGCAACCGATAAGCAACCTCGATATCTCGTGGATCGCTCGCCAGCAAGAAGAGATAGATCAGAAAGTTTCCGCACAGGATAAGCTGCGTTCGGGCAACTGCACTGCATTAGTTGCTGTTGCAGAGTGACATCTTTGATCGGCAAACTTACATCTTCCCCAGAAGCTCGTCAGTTCCTCCTCGGTGATGTACGCCATGAATGTCGTGAAGAGCTCAAACTCTGCTAGTGCGGTGGAGAGCCATCGCTGCAGATTAGAGCCCGGCGTGACCTTTGCGGCTCTTGTGGCTGGAAACATTAGACCCCGGAAGAGCAGCACCTGCGTAGCGAAGAAGGATATGTGAAGGGGGCCTAGTTCATGTTAGACATCGGCGAATTCAAAAGATGCGTGTCACATACCGTTGTGGGCGTAGGGTCTCACGGCCAGACAGCTCGGGATGAGACTCGGCCATTCCTTGAGGGTGTCTCGGATAGGAATCAGTTGAGTACGCGTCTGCTGGGTTGATCGTACACCGCTGCATCATATAAGTCACTGACCTTTACTACGCCGATGGCTGGGTTACTTACAAGCTGCAGTCAAGGATGGCACGCATCTCCCGAGACACGGTGATCATTTCAAGAAAGCGTGCACCGTCAGACACGCGGAACGTGGCGTCCTCAGGATCTATCATATAGCGAAGATCGTCAGGGATATCCTCGCCAGACCGCAGATCATCCATGTCCGGGGGTGGAGTCGTGAAGGACTCGTAGCTTATATGCGGGGGGTTACCGTGGCTTACAGCTGACCAGCAGTCTGTGTAAAAGACTGCCCACCAGAGCTTCTTGCGTAACCTCTTCTCCCACGGTGCTATGTTCCACTTGTCAGGGTCTTGGTGCAGACCGAGCATCTGCGCTATTGCTGTGGCTTGACAGGCCATCACCCAGATATACGGCGTCTCAACACTGTCAATGTCTGGAGGTACCATGTGCATCAGCAGCAGCGCTGACATTAGTCTCGAGAGGTTGGGAGCTTCAAGTTCTCGCCTCAACGCCTCTTGCGCATGATTGATTAGTTCGTGCTGCTCAAACGGACAAGGGATTCTCGCGAGCGTTGCATCTTGCTTCCAGAACACACACGCTAAGGCGTAAACGGCGCCCCGTAGCGACGTGGGTATGTCTAGCTTGGCGGTCGCGTATTGCCGAAGGAAGCGACTCTTGTGGATGACGGGCAATCCTACGTGAACGTGCCGGAAATAAAGACGGACAAGGGCCGGGCCGTGGGGCCAGACGATACGCTCTATCGCATCGGACGCCATCTGCTTAGCCTCGTTCTTGTGATCGGGGAACTCATCAAGCAGCAGGAGGAAGTGCATCGGGTAATCGTCCACATCAGGCCCGCCATGGTAGACCTGCACAAAGTTGGCGTCAATGCCCTCGCGCTCGCTGAGAAGCACGGATCTAAAGGCGTCAAGGAAGTAAGGGTCCTGCTCCGAGCCTAACGCCATGGCGTGCGCCGTACGGCCTGGAACATCTTCAAGAGCGTAGGCGACTTCTTGATTGGGCTCCAGGCGCGGTGGATCTAGGCTGATGCTTCGATCCAGGGAAGCTTCTCCAGGAACTGGCACGGGATGGCGCACGAGGCCGTTGTGGACAACGGCTGCGGACTCGGATCTGTGCCGAGTAGCTTCAGATGGCGCCGAGGGTGAGATGGCCGATGTGCCAGATGCAGAGACAGATGCAGATGCAGACTCCGGGCTTAGTGCATCGTGGCTTCTGGAGGACTCGGGCCCAGGGCCGGATGTAGGCCGGTGGGCTAGAGGGTCAGTGTCGGAGAGGGACTGGCATACCAAGCCTCTGCTTTTACAGAACAGGCCTGTATTACAGATGGATGCAACGGTCAGTATAAGCAATTGACGAATGGCTAGCGGGAAGTGTCAAGTGGAGTTTTGTGTGACGGTGAACCACTGAACTGGTACGGATAGGTAGTAGTGAGTGGGTGGGAAATCTGGGGGGGGCGCCTCACAAGGGGGTTCAGAGGTGATGACACAAGCAGTCTTCCGCCTCCGACAGGCGTCGCAGGGTCTGTTTTTGCGGCTCCGTGGCTGGCGGGCTTTACCAAAGTTACTGCGAATGCTGAACTTGCGGGGCGTAGCAGTAGACGAGGAAGAAGTTGCCCGTTCCCGATCGCTAGCCTCAGCCTGCGAGTGGGAGTGAGAGTGATCCATCTGATCTGATCTGATTGCCTTTTCGGAGGAGGCGGGCCAGGTACCCGTTAACGGCAATACCTACGCTCCACGCGCGCGTGTTTGAGGGAGAGTGTGTAGGTAAAGGCAAGCCAGGCTGCGGGAACGAAGGAGGGAGAGAAAGAGGCGAAGGAGATGTCGGCGAAAATCGCGTGATGGAGGGGGGACCGGGAAAGATAAGTTGGCCGACAACCTAACTCAGGAAGAAACAAGCGGAGTTGGCCGAGTGAGTTCTTTTTAGGGGGCGCTTCTGCTTGCGTACTAGTGTCTCGGAAAATGAGATTAGTGTGAAATTACAGAGGGCACGGGAGCTAAAAGGAAGAGTGTCAAGCGTGTTCAAGTGCCGTAGCTTCAGAACATGTTCGCGTTTTAGCCTGTCATGACGCGATTTCAAGATGCGACAATTAAAACAAGTGGATGATCTCCAATCTCAATCAGGGTCTGCCGAGGTAACGTTGCTAAAATCAGAAGATAAAATGATGAATTTTTATCCAGAATCCCCGCTATGTCTCATATGGTAAAATGATAATTAAAATGGTCTCAGTGTAGATGGAGTAGCAGATAACAGGCTTGCAGTCTTGAAAAGAAACATCGCCAACATGAATCTCGTGATTAAACAGACGTGGTCAGGGAGTTAGGGCCCTTGTTTCGCTGAAAAGAGTGCTCTTCAGTTGTTCCAGACTCACTCTCGGAGTAAGTCATGTCCCAGCGCTCATCATAAACAGCCTGGACCTCCTTGGCAGTAGTACCATCCTTGATGAAGGCGTCGAACTTCTTGTCAGGGAATACAGTGTGAAGTGCGTAGTAAACAGCAGCACTGACGATGAACCCAAAGAGGTAGTTGAGCTGGTAGAGATTCTTTGCGCCATCTGAGACTTTAGCATTGAGGTTGACAGCAGCGATGAAGCCAGGCATTGTAGGTGCGACACCAACAATCCACTAAAACAAACGAGTCAGTTATTTTCCCGCGCAAAACCAACAATGTGGAACTTACTGCGACAAAAGCACGCCAGTTGATACCGAAGTTGTACCAGTAAATGCTATCCCTGTTACCCACAAAAAGATCGTCAACATTGACCTTGGCCTTTGCCACCAGGTTGTAGTGAGCCACCATGAGACCAGTCATGGGCGCCAAGAAGACACTGTAGCCTGAGAGCACAGTGAGGAAGACGGTAGCTGTGTTGACGAGACGCCACGGGTTGACGATGGGGCTGAGAAGGGCCATGAGATAGGCACCGCGTCGAATGTTGATGTACTTGGGGAACACGGATGCGAGATCGATACCGCCTGCGAGGGCGTTGCCGGGAAGATTGCTGCCGAGCTGAGAGATGGACAGCGCGAGACCGGCGAAGAAGATGGCGGCGCGGGTGCCTGCAGTTGGATCCTTGGCTAGAAGCGCGGCGAGGAGGGTGGGAGGATTCCAGATAGCCTCACCCATACGCTTCTGTGTCGCGGCAGTGACCAGAATGCCAATGACGGAAGCTCCAATACTGTAAAGCGGAAACGCAACGGTCTGGCCCCAGATAGCATCACCAGGCTTCTTCGATAGACGCGCATAATCGTTCTGGTTAAGAATACCAGCCGCAATACCACCAATTGTCGACATGATTCCCGAGATGGTGAGCCACGTAACACTCTGCGGACCGCCAGTGACGGGAAGAGGCGTGCTATCAGCGAGGGTATCTCCAAACCCATCCGATCCCATGGTCGCCAGCGCCCAGATCAGAAGAACCAGGAAGAAGACGAGGGTGACGGAGCTGGCAAAGTAGAAGAACTTTTGTATTCGGTGCGGTCGGATCCATAGGAACGGGAGCGTGACGATGCAGAAGATGAAGTAGGAGACGAATTGCGCGGATGTCATGCCGGTCGACGCGGGGATCGTGTTGGGGATGTGTTTCTCGAGGTTGGGATCCCATGATAGGAGCATGAGATATGTGCATTGTCCGCCGACCCAAGACTGG